TGGCAAACTCTCGACACCACGTGTTTGCCTTGAGACTTACGGAAAGCGCACTTTCGCATTTGCTGGTCCAACAATTTGGAACGCCCTTCCTGTCGATCTTAGAAACAACCAGACACTGGAGTCCTTTAAAACCGATCTAAAGACACATCTATTTCGCAAATACCTTCTGGAATGATTGTCTACCTTATTTTCCATGTGTTGCTGTGTTGCTTCGGGTTGAAATGGCTAGAAAGACTTTGATATTGTATGCTTGTAATTAGTTTTTGTAGTGTTGCGTTTGTTTTAAATGTGGTGAATTATAGATATTTTTTGTTGACTTTGTACCGCGCTTCGAGCCTTTGGGGATGAAGCGTGTTTTTGAAATGAACTTTATTATTATTATTATTATCTTTTTAATTCAAAGCCCCAATAACAAATTATAAGTGTGTTGGACTGCGATAAAGCTTTTAAGTAGATTAATTAGAAACAAAACAAAGGCAGCACTTTGATTCTCTTTTTGCTTGTTATTTTGTAAACAAATTACATGACAGATTTTACAAAGGTAAAGAACAGATTAAATAGAAATGAAAATGAAATTTATTTTTCAAATTTTACATAGGATAGTGTTCATGTAAAAAAAAATATTATTAAGTTTATTAATTTTAACCTTAGACTTGATTGGAAGAACATGCAATCTCATTTATGAAGGTTCATTGTAAAATTATAATGCCTGTCACTGACTGACACATTACAATACCTCACTGACATTTATCCTTGTAATCATTAAGGCTCAGAGCCTTATGAGATTGGTACTAACAAACAGAAATATTTGAATTTTTGGATTTGCTCTGTTGAAATTGTTGACATTCAGTTGAAAGTACTTACTTCACTAAATATTTTTTTCAACTTTAAATAAGTTCTGTTTTTTCCCTTTAACAATTAGGAAAATAAATCTGAAAAGATATCATTTAAGGGATTAATTAAATTATCATTTTTTATCAATAATATGATGATTTTTTATAAATTTTTAAAATCATTGCTTTGCAATAATTTGCTAGTAAAATTGGCACATTTTATTGATGTGTAGCTTGAGAATAAGAGAAGTAAAATTGGATTTATTATAATTGCACGAGTTGGATTAAAATTTGTCCTCTTTCATGTCCGACCTTTCTGGTTAAGATTTTTCTATTTTCAAATCCAGCCTTTCTGATCAAAAAACAATATTCAATCTTTGGGTAAAAGTCAATTCATTAATACCTTTATAAGCAATTTGGCTCTGAAGTAAACGAAACTTTGTTCAATTAAAGTGGAGCAATAGTATTATGATGTGTTGTTTAATTGCTTGGAGACAACATGTGCAAAAACAATTATTTTAGTATTTCTATGTTTGTATCTTTTCCTTTTAAATGCATAGCAATACTTTTGCAAGAGCAACCATGAATTAACTGTGCTAAGAGGATTTATTACTCAGTTTAGCCTGGTCGTCACCTATCCTAGGCAGGATGAGGCTAGGTCACTTATCCCAGGCTGGATGAGGCTAGGTCATCTATCCCAGGCAGGATGAGGCTAGGTCACCTATCCCAGACTGGAAGAGGCTAGTTCACCTATCCCAGGCAGGATGAGGCCTGGTCACCTATCCCAGGCAGGATGAGGCTAGAGATTTCTGCAAACTGATCAGCTTGTTCTAACTCTGTCATGCTTGGCTGCTTGTGGTTGTAGCTCTCATCATCCCACTGGTTTGGGTTCATGGAGTAGCTGGTGAGATTCATCCTCTTTCGTGATTCCTCTCCAAGCCCCTTTATTTCTGCATACATGTTGATGCTCTTCATGCTGACCTCTTCAATCTTATTGCTCTTCACAGAAACATCATTGATTTTCTCCTGGTCCTCACCATAGTCCAAAACCTCACCAGTGACTTCCCTCAGGTAATGTTCCTCTATTTGGAAACGTTTCATGGATGGGCTTGTATTCATTGAGGTCCTGTATGTTTCTTCGATGATTCCTAAGTCGTCCATGGAGGTATCTAAATGGTTCAATGTCCTATAGAGGTCCTCTTCCTCCGCAGCCATTTGTTTCGAGGAATGCTCTGAGACGTTTGATAACGAGGGGCTACCGCTGTCCACATCGCAGTGCCCTTCTATTTCCTCACAGAACTTGTCGATGAGATCCACTACAATAGCCATTTCCTGACTGCAGACGGTAGGATCATCCAGAGGAGTGCTCAGCTGATGGGTAACCGATTTTGTATCTCCTGTGATCAGATGTTCAGAGATGAGGGACAAATCATGAGCAGAGTGCTCACTGGGTGGCTTGATCTCACTTTGCAGGGACAGATCACCAGCTGACTTCCGACCATCCCCAAAGGACAAATCTATTGTGGTGAGGCCTAGGATGGATTTCTCAGATATAGACTCCAGTTGGTCTGTGACAATTTTTAAGTCGTCCTCGAGATCTTCATCGGCATTGATTTTATCATCGACCTGTGTCACGTTGGCTTCCTCCTCCACGGACTGCGTAAGAAGGAAGAGCAGATCCTTGTAACTGGTGACGTCGGGCATCTGCTTCTTGGCCTGAATGCACAGACTTATCTCTTCTCGTTTGCTCAGCATCCCTTTGCTCAGCCTCCAGATAAAAACACACCCATCTATTGATGTGGAGATGATGTGTCCCCCTGTGTCAGAACACAAAAAGTTCTATCATTACTGTCATTGTCTGGCTACATTATTTCAGTTGTTGGGAATGACAACTATTTCCATTCCCCATGTAAGAAAAATTTGTTGCATGTGCATCACATTGTGCTCTACACAGCCTCTGAACCATTTTAACACATGTCATGCTATTTTCATCCTGACTTAAAAATTATTTCTTTCTGCGCAAATGGGTAAATTTTTGGTAAATTTTAGGTAAATTGCAAGTAATTTAATGACACAGTAAAAATGTATAATTTTCTGAAACAAAAAAAGAAAAACATTCATAGAAATTACGCCTTCATACATTAAATTTATTAACATACTACACACAAGAGTATTGAGGATAGTTCATTAGTTAGCCTACACAGCAAGCTCTATGGAATCCTTAACGAGATGATTAACAAAGTTGTTTTTTATTTTTTTGACACATATATTCCAACAATCATCAACAGCTTCAACAGTTGTCAACTACACTAACAATCATCAACCACGCTAAAAATCATCAACCACACCAACAATCATTAACCACACCGACAATCATCTACTACACTAATAATCATCAAATGCACCAGAAATCATACAGACCTCCAATAAGGATCAACCACTCACCTTTAGCAGTGAAAACGAGGCCGGTAACGTACTTGGTGTGTCCTGGCACACTGACAAGTATTTCGCCCGTGCAGAAGTTGAGCACGTTGATCGTTCTATCTGAGGCAGCTGTGATCAGGAAAGCGCTGTTGACATCCAGCGTGATCTTTTGGAGCTGGCTGTCTTCTGAGGGACTTCCTCGAAAGATGCGCTGTTCCTAAAGTTTGAAGAAGACAGTGTTAGCTAAGTATAGCTGGGGGATCTGAGGTGATGTTTCTAGCAACAAAGAAATGGCACTTTCATATCAAATAGTTTAGAAATGAAATGAAAACTCTGTACCTTATTTATTTCATTTGTTTCAGGACAGTATTTAAAGTTAATATTTATGATAAATATAACATAATTTTAACTGAGTGTTTGTCAAACCATTAACTTAATTAAAACTTAAACTTTAGAACCTATTGAAATAGCTAAAACAAGTGTGAATTTTTTTATAACAGGAATTCATATTTTATATAAGAAAATCTAGTTTATTTAACCAAACTGAAAACTGTTCCAAGTTTCAAGACATGTTATCAATAAAAAAAAAAAACTTTTGATTTTCTCCAATAAGCTTCAAACCTGCAGTAATGCCATGTCCAAAATCCTGACATTGCCATCCTGGCATCCCAACACCAGGTGCTCTGTAATCAAGTCAGCAGCAATGTCTGTAGCAGAAGATACAACTGTTGCACACTTGGCCAGGTGGAAGAGTGGTGGCTGGCTTGTGCTGCCCTGGTGGATGGATGCAGTGCTGATACTTAAACTCCTGGGGTAAAAAAAAAAGATGAATTAATAAAAATAAATTGAGGCAGGAAGCTGTATTATTTTTTAATTTTACACCGTAGCAATGATAGATGGGCAATGATAGATGGGCAATGATAGATGAGCAATGATAGATGAGCAATGATAGATGAGGAATGATGGCTGCGCAATGATAGCAACACAATGATAGAGGAGCAGTGATATAGTCTTGGATATTTACAACAGGATGGTAAACAAATTTCACATAATTTTTTTCTTTTTTTAAGTAGAAAATTTTCTGTAAATTACAGTATCATTTAACCTATCAGAAAGTCAAATTACCTTTATTTATATCAATTTACCTTTAGGTAAATTAATTCACCTGTAAGTATAGCAGATAACTATTTTTATGTTAAATTTTTGTTTGAAATTTTTTCAACTTAAAAAATAAACTAATATCCAATGAAATTATATTAAGAGAACTTAATTACTATCAGTAAATTGAATTACCTATCAGAATATTAAATTAACCTGTTGCATATCATGTTACCAATTTTTATGTCAATTTACCTGTCCGTAGCGCAAGACACCATATAAGCCACATCATTAAGCTCGTAGATGATGATGGCCATGATGGAGGATGAGTGTATGTTGAGGGTGGACACCAAACTGAAGTTGTTATTGCCGTCCATCACATGAATTAATCTATCTCGGCTGCCGCTGACCAGTACAAAACTCCCTGAACTGAAAAATAAAATGATCTTATTATCAGATGGATTATTTGAATGTCACATTTTAATCAGGCCTTGTGCTGGTCCTGACATCTTTGCAAGGAGTTGCAGTACAAAGATTTCAGAAACTGCATACATCATGAAATAGCTTTAAAATGTTGCCTGCTTCTACAATTGATCTCTAGGAATTAACTAAAGGAGAAATTTTCACTAGAAATTATTTATGATTATGTTTCTAATTTCTTGATGCTGTCTGTCATCTAAGGCCCTTCAAATCATTATAACCTGCCTATGCTACAGCAGAGACCATATAACAATAGTTAAACTAAATTATAGTCTCTCTAATTATGGTGAATTCACCACAAAAACTAAAATTTAACAAAATTATTAGCTTAACAATCACTAATGCAGAGCATAAATTGAAAATGGAATAATAACACAACATACACATATTTTTTTTCAAATGACAGAAATCTCAATTTCTTAGTTGTTACTGAAAATCAATCTGAGAAAGAGGTTAAAGGATAAAAGAAAAAAAAGTTGTCAGATTCCATCACAACATCTTGATGACCCACTGTCTTGGCCAACCAGCTGATTGACATATGCTGGTTGTTTATTCAGATCCCTGTTGTTAATGTTATAAACGATGAATGTGAGACTTTTCAAATTTAAAATGAATGAGAGACTTTTCAAATGAACAATGAATGTGAGACTTTTCAAATGTACAATGAATGTGAGATTTTTTTTAATGAACAATGAATGTGAGACTTTTTAAATGCAAAATGAATGTGAGACTTTTCAAATAAATATATTTTATGATAGCCAAATCAAGGAACTCGCAACCTTTCATAGATTTTAAAGTTTCCGGACTAAACTGTGCATTAGACTTCAGTCCTTCTAGAAGTTGTTTTATAAAAAAATTACTTAATAGAAGTTGAAGCAGAGTTATTGCAGGTTAATTACTTTGTTCTTTTAAAAAATACTAGGTTACATTGAGGACTAACCCACTTGCCTAGCAGAGTAAAACTCCAGGCAGGTTATCTCCCTGTTGTGAGCCAAAATTGTTGATGTGTGCTCATAGGTGTCCTTGTCGTAGACGCAGACATTGCCTGATTTGTTTCCTGTAACTATGTACTTCTTGTCAGGGCTCACCTGTGCGGGTTATAATTAATGTGTACAAATTCTTCATTTAAATTTCACCATTAATTTGTTTTGGATTTTTTAATAGGAGTTTAGTCTCAGCATATAAGAAAAAAACTTTTTGAGTGTATCAATTGCTAAGCATTGTTCAATCTACAACTGTGGAGTCAAAAGTGTGGCAAAGAATTTTGTATTGCAAAACCTAGTACACAGCTTTACCAGAGTTCATCATTGGGATTTTCAACTCAAATTAACTCATCCTAGCTATTGCCCAATTGTGGACTAGGCCTGTATTAAATCCAGTGGGTTAGGCAGGGGGGCAGAGAGTGGTCCTCCCCAGGTGGCACTTTTTTTCTTTATATTGAGGGGCAGCATTTTTGGCAAACTGCAGATTTCTTTATGTGGAAGGGGAGAGGCAAAAATCTTAGCCTACCCAGGGCAACACCTACCCAGCTACTCCAATGATAACATCACTAGCTTGGGCGTATCCTGCAACAGCCAAATTCTAAGAGTTAAAAACCCACACACCCCCACCCCCTTTTAGTTTACCCAGATTTTGTGCAGCCATGTTTATTCCAAGCTTGTCATACTTCTTCCAGTATACCCAAGGACTTCATTTCATATCATAATTATTAATTTTTCACATGAACCTACAGTTAAAAGCTTAAAAAATTCACTATTCAACTAGATACAGGTGTATCATTCACCTTCACAGCTGTGATGGTGTTCAAGCTGTCTGTGACATCCACCTGAGAGTCCTCAGTGTTCAGAGTGGATGGTTCGGTAAACAGGATGCTCAGGCGGTCATAGCAGATGGTGTCTGACACAAGTATCCCCCAGAGATGGATGGTGAAGTCATGTGACACCGTGACCAGCGTCTGCCTGTCCGTCTCTCCAGGTTCCAAGTTGGTAAATATATCAATGTTGGTGATGGCCTTGCTGTGGTAGACAGCCACGTATCTGTTCCGAGTTTTGAGAATGGTAAGATAGGAAAATTAAAATGAAAACAACAACTTTATTGAGTTCTTGACATCAGCTAATCTTATAAAGTCAAAAACAGCAGGGATTTGACTTGATCTTTCTTTGAATCCTGGCAACCAACAGAAAAATAACTATAACATTAAGAGGCATCAGGCTCCCAAAAAAAGAAACCCTCCAAGAAAGGGTTCTGTCATTAAATTACTTGAAAGGCTACTTCCATGGGCCCACGTTCTGGAACCAGCTCCCCTTCAATATCAGTCATTGTGAAACCTCGTCCACTTTTAAAAAGTCCCTTAAAACCCATCTGTTTAGGTCCGCCTATGACCTGTGATGCACCCTCCTTGCCCTGCCTCATTTTCTGTCTCGGGTTAATCCTGTAGTATAGGCCAAAACGTGCCAAAGTGTCCTCGTTTTATAGCCATTTTAATTGTTTCTATAGTATAGTAATTACTATCCTAATGTCTCATTTTTATTGTAGTTAGTTTACATGTTTTTAATAATTGTAAAGCACTTAGAGCTTTAAGGTAAGCGCTTTATAAAAATGTCTAAATAAATAAATAAATAAGGCTGAATCCGTAGTTTTATTCAACTTTCCAAAGGTGGACCCAAGATGCTGATACCAAAATCACTAAGGGGGAAAACCATAAGTGGTGGAGCTGGTTTTATCCTAATAATAATTTAAAATTCTAGTCTTCCTATCAATAATTACTATATGATATTAAGGAGTATTAGTAAATAACACTTGTATCCATTGCAAAAAGCATGTAACAGGGCCTGAAATGGGGTTGGGGGGGAGGGGGTGATGGACACCAAGCTGAGAGTAAAGACAAATAAATACAAGGAATATCAAAACCTAAAATCAGACACAACAGAACAATAAAAATGTGGCTTAAAAAAAATCTTCCATATGAAAAAAAAAATTTGAATCTGCAACAACCCACAAATGAATTAAAATTTGAAAAAAATATATGTCTTTTAATTGAATTTAAAATCCAGCAATGGTGTTTTAAGTGAGAAACCTCTGCTTGATGTTGGAGATATTCTGAAGGTCCCAAACACACATCCCAGAATTTTTGTAAGCAGTTGTCAGCAAGGTATTGCTAGGGTTAAAAGCCATTGTGAAGACGCCACCACCAGTGGTTGAGGAGTGGTGGAGAAATGAAGGCACTGGTAGAGATACTAAATGCTGTAGACAAATTATTTTTTAAAAAACTGACTAAAAATTTCAGTAAATATTTCTGATTTTAGTTAATTTGGGCCTTCATGGAAATTGAGGATAAAAATGTATCAGTATCAAAATAAATGACAGACTACCCAAAATTTGCATAAAAGCCCTCCTCACTTACTGACTCAATCTGTTGGCCGAATTCATTTGACCAACCTCTTTCCCTTGTAACCAATCATTTCAATACCAAAATACAATTTTTTTATCATCACACATTACAGTCATTACAAGTTATTGTTTCACATACTTTATGTCAACCAGTGGTTCTAAAACTTGGGTTATTCTTTTTAACATGTTGAGGGTTTAACCCATTTATGATTGCACTGGACCTCTATAATAAATTACTTTTTCAGTGGGGATACCTTCCAAAATAGATTGATACCACTGACGTAGACAAGAATGAGCCTGAATGTATACGAATTATCAAGTAGCCGATGTACAACAGTCTACCTATGGCTGAGTTAAACAAAGTGCCGTACTTACAATCAAAGATATTGCATGGAACAAATAGATGTAACCACCAGTGAAACCCAGAAAAAGAGTTTGGTCCTCTGCTTTAACGCATGTTGCCACAGACTCTTTGATAACTGTGTGTCTCTTTAGTCTCCTGTCTAGTGCAGTGACCTGGTGAGAGAAGGGGTTCGTTTTCTTTTGTGATGATTTTTACCGTATTGACTGCAATATTTTTCAGTGCCAAACTGAAGTGCGTAGTGAAAGATGGAAATAATAAGTGGTCAACCAAATCATGTTGGGGGCATTAGGAGGTGAAAAAACAAATGGTCTGTTTCTCTGTTAGCCCTTTAGATGATTTTACAATTTCAATTTTCATGCATGCTATTCAATCATTTCTAATACTACTACTACTACAGCTTATACTAATACTAGTATTACTACTACAACTAGTAATACTGCTACTACTACTAGAACTACCACTACTACCTAAACCTAGGCCTAGATGGATGGATGGTATCGAAAAATATATACTGCATCTGGAAATCCAAGCATGGAAAAGAAAAGTATCTGTTAGGTCTGAGTGGAAGGATGTGAAGAGACTACATGGGCTGTAGCACCACAGGGATGGACTACTACTACTACTAATACTACTAATACTACTAATACTACTAAATAATAATAACAATCTGGCCATTCATAAATACTTTCTCTCCCCAGTAAATTTGAATTAGATCCCTTGAACAAGATATAAATTAAATCACAAAAATAAATGAAGAATAAAACTGTCTTACAATAACTAAAGCTCCATTTTTGGTGATTGCATAAACAAAGTTATTGCTGCAGCCATTCCCACACGAAACATCAATGAATGCCTGATTCTTGCAGCTGCCAAGGATACCTGGACGTCCGTACAGTGGTTGAACTGAGAATATGACATTCAAACAAATTAATGTTCTACATTGAACACTGATGAAAATAAACACTGAAATTAAACAGTTTCATGGATCACAAAAATAAAAATTCATCATTTATTTAAAACTCGCGATGTTTTGAAAATAGTTATCAAAATATACTGAGTAAAAACAGAAAATAGCTACAATTATAAAACTGATTTAGTTTGGCACTTCTTATAACATGAGTTACTACACACATTTTCACAATGTTACCTTCAGGGACAGTGACAGACGTCAGTTGTAATTTAGCAGTGGTCAGTTTAGGATACCAAAACTTGAGATGTCTGTACCCAGCTGTGACAAAGTAGTGACCACAGTGGGAGAAGGCTACTGCTCGTATGATGTCTGATGAAACAATAGAGAATAAAACAGTCATTGCAAGCTCAAAACAACCAGGGCTGCAGAAGTCAAAATGTTTTTTGCCATATTCAGTAATATAACATTACCAGTTTATGCAGAATTTTTTGGCATGTTTTGTCAGGCTTTATACACCAAAGATTGAATATAAAATAAAACCTGAGAAACATCATAAGTCTTCGATTTTCTGCAGCTAATATTCATCTTAATATATTTTTTAATCATTGAAGATCAAGTTAATTAAACCATTGGTGGCTATAAATATTGAGAGAGAAAATACTGAAATATTAAGATGTTGCAATCAGTTTGGCAATCTGTTGCATGCAGAAATGTGAAAGAATTTTTTTTTTTTAAATATGCACACAAAAATAGCTTACCTACAATTTTATTAGTGGCCAGTCTATGTTTTTGAGGCCAGGCCCAAACATTGACTTCATTGTCATGCTCTAGGCCAATAGAAATAATTGATTCCATAGTGGGACTAAAAAGGACAGATTTAATCCCAAACTCATGACCATATAGTGTAGCTATCTCTTGACCTTCCTTTAAAAGTATAAAAAGTCAGACCATAAAATTGTTACAACCTTATTAAAAGTTAAAAATTAAATGTCTTATTATAATTGTATCAATTTAAAGCAACAATTAGTTCATTAAAATCCTTTCCAAATAGTTTTTCTACAATTAAAAAATAGGGCTAAATGTTGGTTTGCGGGCAAGAGCAGCAACAAAAAAAACCCAACAAAAATTAGAATATGCAGATGTTGCGTCATGATCACATAACTCACCTTAGCCCTCCAAACCCTGACAGCTGGTTGAAAGCCAGTTTCTCCAGTGACTACTAGCTTCCCATCTGATGAAAAATTAACAGTTGTTGCAAAATTCTTTCGAAGATGAAGATACCTCACCTGACTGGAGGGAGAGTAAAAAATATGGAATTAAACACTTTAAATTGAATAAAAAGAAAATGAATATGTTTAAAGCTCTTTATCAAAAATTTTAATATTTTATATTGCTGTAGCAAATAAGTTAATCTACTCAATAATTTAATTTGAATTGTTCAAGATTAAAAACTCCTGCTGCAGTTGTATGGAAAATAATTTTTAGTCCGCATCAGAATTTGAGGTCACCAATCTTCCATTAAAAACAATTAAACTTAGTATGTGATGAGTTTGGCTTTCCCAGGAGTTTTTAAAAAAAAAACTGTTTTGTTATGGTCACCTCTTTAGGCTCAATACTCAGAGCTTTTCACTCAAATGGATTGGTTCCTTCACTCCCTGGTCTCCACGTATTTACATTCCAAAAATAATTAATTTTGTATAACTCTTACCAGTTAATGTTTGTGTCATGTAATACAACTACACCAGATGCTGTGTGAGCCATCAAGCTACTGTTGCGATCACATGCAAGGCAACTAATATTGTTGCAGGTCATACCCAGCACAAGATCAAGGTTCATGGTTAGAAAGTGACTATCATCAACTCAATTTAAAAGATCTTATGGGAAGCAGAGAAAAAGAAAAAAATTAAGCTGACAATAACAGCTAATTGATTCCCAAAGTAAAATACATACAGGGTGGGCCAATAAAAGAGAGGACATCTTGTAGCGTAATATATTACGAGATGTTCTCACTTTTATTGGCCCACCCTGTATTTTAAAGTTTAAAAAAAAATAGAATACACCATATATAGCATATTTCTCATAACATTTTCTGAGATTGAGAATAGATTCTGTGATTAACAACATTCTTAGAATTTTATACAGTTTACTTTGCAATGTAATTGCAGTAAAATCTATTTACTATTATAGCACCCAATGTAAGTAAGGCTGCAATGCCTAAATGCATGAAAATAATTATGGCAATCTCTTTTATATATAAATATATTTAGAAATAGAAACAATTTTTCATATAAGTTATTATTTTTAAGAATCAATATCTTGGCATTTCATAATTACTTTTTTCATGTGCTCACAGTCCACTTAATTCCAAAATATGTCACAATGACTATTGACACAAATGCTCATCTGCCAGATGGTAGGCCTACTTGGTACCTGGACCTGGTAGATTTGAAGCTGGTTTCCTTTTTTACATGTGTTGATGTTGTTTTTTTCTCCTTTTTTTTCTCAACCAATGATGGAAATATTGGTGGCTTAAAAAATTCAACAAATATTTGTCAATTATTATTTTTACATTGATATATTAAATTTAATTGAAGGAGTATTTCTGTAAAAATAAATGAAACAAATATTTTCAATGCCACCAGTAGAAATATACTCCTTTAAAACATATTTTTAAAAGTTTTTAATTTCTTGAAACTAAAAATGTTATTTTTTTAAAAAAGTATTAGTACCAGTAATAGGATTTAAATCAAAAGAGAAAAAGGTGAGGAGAGAAAATATGTTAATATTAAAACTCAATTTCAATAATAATTTCATCTAATTAAATGATGTTACAATATGATAGTTAAATAATTTAATGAATAATACAGATTGATTATTTTATAACTTTAAAAAATGATGACCATTTTTATATTGAATTTTAAAACATTTTGATCTTATTTTCTAAGTAATAAAATAAGACCAAAACAAGAAATATTCAAAATAAAAAAAAATCATAATTTTCTAGCCCTAATATTCTGATTGAATAATTAAATTTAAATTGTTCAGATTCAGGCCTAAAATAAATACTAAATATAAGTTTAATAATTCTTCTAAGAACTTAGTTCATATTCAGGCCTAAATACTAAATATAAGTTTAATAATTCTTCTAAGAACTTAGTCTTATACGAAAAAATAAAATGCTCACAGCCGCCACGCCCACGGGCATCTTTTTTCACTTGTAATCAAAGGCCATCATCATTTAATCCATTTTTAAATGAAGCAAATCAGTAAATTTTATTTTTTGTTTTATTTTGTTTCATATTATGATGCGACGTTCAGAAGTGAACATTAGTGATAAAACAAAATAAGGAAAGTGCGCAAAATTTCTGATGTGCAAGAAGTCGACAAGCTGCTCAGTATTAACTAATATAAGCGTCTTAAATAGTTCTTATATGACGTAACACATTTGTTTAACGATAAATAAAACCTGACATTGACAGTGATGTTGTACATTCTGTTATGATGGATGTATTCTGACAGAAGATGTCACAGTAGTCACATGAATAGATGTTAATATTTTAATGGCGAAATGTGTTTTGTATTAATTAATTTTTAATTTTCAAACAATTGTTAAGTTCAAAAGTGTGACGTACTTTAGAGGGGTGGGGACGGCTTGAGATTTGTGACAGATTATGAAAGGGGAGAGGGGGGCGGGTAAAGATTGTCTAAAAATAGCATGACGTACATTAAAGTTAAGGACTGCCCCTAAACACTCCTTTTAAAAAGACGAAATCAAAATTATACTGCATACTCTGGCTGGGCGTCGTTAGCGCGCTAAACCCAAAAATATATTTTTGGTTCATCTATTTGCCGTAATATTGCATTTACTTAATATTTTGAAATATTTTATAGTGAATAAAATAAATACAAAAATAAAACTAGTTAAATTTTTATTAATCACGATTTTTTTCAATAGAAGATTAGGAAAACAATTATTTGTATAAAGAAAATGTATAAATGTCCATTTTATAAATTTTCTAATAAAATAGATTCATTAATATTTATGCATTATTTAATTGTTTTCTCGACATCTAGAGAATTCATTTCGTTTTGTTGGTATTGTTTTTGCAGGTAGATATAAATTTAAAATTGACCCATCTTTTATGTACTAAATACAATAAATTAGACGTCTAATTATCGACCTGGGCATAGCATCAATCATAACGTCAATTATCAATATTGCGACAACTTTCTTAACTAGTACTATCGTATTTTAACACTACTTATTTAAACGCATCAGTCATCAGCCACCGCCATAAGTCATGCATAAGCCATAATCATAAGTCATAAGTTATCATCATACATAAGATCACTTCGACTACAGAGTACAGTCTACAACTTGTGACAAGACTACAAAACTATACTCTTACTCTTGCTCACAGTGTGAGTCACACACAGCCCCAGGCGTTGAGTGAGAGTGTTTACCTTATGGACATGCTTTAACAGTTTAACAGTTATCAACATATTGGAGGTTTTTTTAATTCTAAACTTTCTCTAAGACTACCCTACCAACCCTATCTTGGTAATCCCTCATTGAATTGATATTGACTTATTTCCCTTATTTTAGTGCAATTTATTATCCCTTTCTTAGTCTCTATATGACTGACAGTTTTCATGGACATGTAGGTTTAAATTTAGGCCTACTTTTTTTAACGCTTGGGGTTGCACCTTGCTTTAGTTTAGGGACTTTGGTATGATCCGGGAAGTGCCGAAAACCGGGTATCGTGATTTCGTTGTCAAAATGGCGACCTCCACTTTTTAATTTACCGAGGGTTGTGTTGTTTAAGATTTTTTTTGCTAAAGTTAGTTTTGTTATTAAATTCTATTTCTGCCCTCAACTTAAAGCAGACATGTTTGTTGTTCATTTGACACTTTTCTTTAAGAAAAAATTTGACAGTTTGACATTGAAAATTAATGGTAAATAATAGCTAATTTGACTCTTTCATAATTTTTTTTTGGAAAATGTAAGTTTAAAAAGAGAAAATACCAATGTTAGATGTAGGCATAAATGACAACATATCCAAAATTTGTGAGGTTAGGACCCCGCCATGGGTGAGAAATTTTTGTGCAAAATTTTTGTCTCATGTGTCCCAAAATTACCTATTATCGATAATGGACTTTTTGTAATAAGCAACTTGATTTACACTGGAAATCCAGCATATTACCCACTAATAACTAATTTTAAAACAAAGCAACAATTTACTAGCACAAATACCTATTTATAATATTACCTGATGCTTTATTTTGAGGTATTAATTGGGGGAGTGGGATAAATAACCCTAGCCTTAGTAGTATTATTACACTTATAGTAGGAAAATATATATATATATATATAAGCCTAGTATAGTACAGACCTAGTGACATCCCAACTTGTTATTGCAGAATCTATTATAGGTAAATGATATTAATGGCTATGTATTCATATTTTAATGAACATTATGATTCTTAAAATAAAATTAAAAATGTAAATATTCACTTACCTTTGATATTGAAATATCCTGTATTCACTCACAAATCACAATATTCCACAAGAAACTTGTATAATATAATCCTCAATATTCAAGAAATAACACACTCTGCCACAGTGATCCAAGAATTTCTTAAGATATTATTAAAGAATAATCATAAAAGCTTGTACTTACCTCAAGCGAATGACTAGAACTTATTTTAATTTCTATCAACTGCCAAAGTTGATACATTTTGATTTGTGAAACAAGATTACTAACTTAAAATAAAGAATCTACTATTTTTTAGTCATATTCAAATGAGACTAAAAATACATATATAGAAAATGGAAAAATAAAAAGTATAATTGTCAATTTTAGATAAAGGAATCAAATAATCCCTGTATTATTATTTGATACTTATAAATGTTAAACAATTCCATTGAAAATTTGAAATTAATATCTAAAGAATATTATTATTATTATAAAATTAGGGAAATTTGATATATATATGTTTTTAAAAAATATATTAATTAAATACAAATAAGTGACGAGTCAGCATATTTGATACATTTTAATAAGGAAAATTATCAAGATTAAAATATTGTTTTGCGGAATATTAACAAAAACTACAATTATATTTTGTGGCTTAATTTTGAAGTACTCATATTTAACTGTGTTCCCTGTAAATATTATATTTTTGTCTCATTTTATAACAAAGTTATAGGCATAAAAACAATAGCAATATAAGGGGGACGAAATGTGGAGGAAAATCCCATAGTGAAAAAGTGCTTTTGAGGTCCATACTAAAAAATTCATAACTTTTGAACCACTTGAGCTAGAAAGTTGATCTTGGTGTTTTTGTAAACCACTCTATTGGCTCTATACAGCTGTAGTAGTTTTATATTTTTTAAAATGTTTAGAAATTTTCATCAAAGTGCCTACTTTAGTTGTTTGAGCGAGTTTAGCCTTTGTTTATTTGAATAGGCTTTTTAATGAACTTTTAAAATTACTACATGAAGCCAAAGTAACCATCTAATTCTAATACTAATATCTGAGAGTGACAAACTACTATTACTATTTCTAATACTAATACTAAAGACAAGAATAAAGACTAAGCTAGTATGATGATGATGATTGAGTACTTTTATAGCGCTTATGTCCATGCTATTTTAGCATGCTCACAGCTCTCTGATGTCCTAAAATCTATTCAAAGAAAAAACTCTTTAATGGTTCTTAAATGACTTTTTATCATTTTCAATATCCCTCAAAGATTGAGGCAAACTGTTAGGCGCTATAGCTTCAAAAAAGCGCACTCCGTTCGTCTTCTTTCTGTGTCTATCCACACTGGGAACCCTCAGAGGACTGCATTGAAGAGCGCAAGTTCTGTATGGATATATGTTTAATACAAGTTATGTCAGGAAATTCACTTAGTTGCTTATACTTATATAAGTTAACTTAAATGGTTCTCTGATTTCATAAGGATTGCATATGTTATTAACACAAAAAAGAAAAAGTGCAGTAACTTTTTCCTGAAAGCACCCCAATAATTTATTTTTTATTAATAATAAACCAAACTAATGGAAAAACTCCCGAAATTGTCGTTTTTTTTAGGCTAGCCTTAATCTTAGGCTTAAAATCGTAGTTACTACGGCAAAATCATAGGGGTAAACAGGTCAGCTACATCCATACATGGTAACCTGTGGGATCAAAAAGCTATACAATAGTGTACAAAAAGTCGCAAAAGACTACAACAACATGAAAACTACAGAAAAAATATGAAAACTTGAAAAAAGTATAATTAACAACTTTTTCATCAATTTTATCTATGTTTTGAATGGTTAAATTAAACAAAATTATTATCTTACCTTCAATGTGCGCACTTTTTTCAACATTTTACATCATTCATAAATTGGAAGATCGCATTTATAAAAAATTCAATGGCCTAAGTCTAAAGTTCGTCAGATTTTGATTTTTTTTTTTTTTCACTTGTCAATAGCAATATTATGTTTAGGAGATTTTCAGCTGGAGTTAAATAATAAATACAAAAATAATATAATTTAATATAGCCTACCATTCTCACTGATTTCTGCTAAAAAATGTAGACTTAAACAATGAAAAAGGTAGCACTCCCTTTTAGTTTTAAGAAAGCATTAACACGCTAAATGAAACTTTATCATAATAATAAATAGGAATAATGACTAATGTTAAATAAATTAAAAGAGCCTTTACTAACAATGCAGTTCTTGTAATGAATTACACAAACAGATTTGTAATGATGGTTTACTACACAAAGTAGCTACTACCATACTACGATGCCTTAGTATTAACAAATGTTATCAATGAAACCACACTCAGTTTCTAAATTTAGATGGCCAATGAGATTTAAACTTCCTGTTGTCCAACTTAGAATTTATTGCAAGTTTTGAACGCGTCTTGTACAAAATTATTTCTTCTCTCAATCCAGTGAAAAATCTCACATAATCATAGGTACACCCTGGCAAACGTATAAAAGCCTACAAAGTATGGGTAAACCATACAGGTTGGCATGTATTGTTACAGATGTGGGAAAAGAATTTGGAATGAGAAAAAAAAGTGGCAGTGTTTTTCATATGATTAAGGACATTAATTAGACACTGAAAAGTAATTGATGGTAATGAAAGTATCAGGCATGTAAATGTATCCCTGCCATGCTCTATACAGTATAACTATTTATAATAAATGCCACCTTAAATATTAATTTGAAAATAAATTTGTACCTAGGCTTAGGGCTCATTTCATAGTATAAATATATTATATTGGCATGTAATACATGTTTTATTTAGGTCAATGTTTTTCATAGTGATGTAAACTAAATTTATTAGCAGGTCAACTACAAGTTTATCAGAAAGAGAACTCTGGCTTTACATACATAGTTAGCCGTAACATGCCACGTCCCACTCGAGGAAAAGGTAGTAAGTCAGATCAAGTAAAACAGGAGGAACATTTGCAAAGGAAGAATGATCAATGGATTTTCATAGTAAATGGTAAGTTAGATTTTTTTTTTGGCTAATCAATCTTATGCAATGTCAATAATAAATACTACAGGTAAATTCAGACAACCCGCGCCACAGCCACTGTCTTGGTTGCTCGACCCGTGAAAGGTCACCCTAAACCTATCCCTAAACCTAACCTGGACACTAAACCTATTAAGTTAAATAAACATGTAAATGATGTTATGGCATGAATTGTTTGCTTTAGCAAAAGTAAAGTTTAGAGCCAATAACAGCGTGGTGGGAACTACTCCAAATTTTCTATTTGATAAGATAAGATTCTTTAATTGATCCAAACAAATGGAAATGTTTTTTGATTGCATTGTACACATTCAGCATATAAATAAACCAATTTGAACGCAAGACATCTATATTAAATTATTTCACTAGTGAAAAAAAAACAGCCATTCAGTGCATTCTCTTAGCCATATCAGGGGCTTATTAATTCTCATTAAGATTTGTGACTTCAGGGGGAGCACGCTGGTAAATTCGTACAGATTGGGGAACAAAAGAATTTTTATATCTTTCAGTCCCAAATGGGCAGATCCTAAGTATCTGTGATGAAGAGGGTGGGATGTACCATCCAAAATGTGTTTAGTTTTACAATAACATCTTTCTGCAAATAGTTCTTCAAGTGAAGGATGTTTAGTTTGTGTTATGTTCCTAGCTTTCTTGATTAGTCTGTTTATATAATTGTGTGATAAGAAATATTCAACATAGTCAACAAATTTCTAAAAGTATCTTTTATCATAGTAATCATACCTAGAAAGAGATGATCCACAATGATAAAAAGTCTTACAATTAGTACAATAACATGATTAAATACAATTAAGCATGGAGATCTACACAAATATTATTAACAAATTTCCAATGCCAAGTATTGAAGTTAAAAATTAATTGCACTTCAGCCATTATACTAAATCTTTGTATATTATAATTACTTGTTCTTTTGTTTTATGTTCTAAGATGAGGTCTTGAATGGGAGCTGTTCTAAAGATGGAAACAATCCTTCACTATGCAAGTTAAGACACCCTCGTTTGAGTAAGTTAAGTTATTGTTTCTTGCAGGTGGTGACCACATTTTCAGAACTGCATCAGATTCAGTTCTATTTTTCTGTGAACATTGATCAAACTGTTTAACATGATTGAGCTTGATTCATTTATTACTTTATATCATTAGTTCTTGATTTATTGTTACTCAGTAGTTGGATGTATTAAATAATTTTATTGAACAGATTTTTTTTTTTTTTTCAGACTCAGGAGTCATTTTTTTGTTATCAGAAAAGGGTACAAATTTTTTTGAGCTCAATGCTTTTAAAGAAAAGTTTCGATCATGGTTTATTGGAGAAACAGTTAAGAGGGGGGAGTTGAATTAAAATTTTTTTTTTTATTTTTATTTTGTAGTTTGATTTATTAAATATTTTTTTTGTATTGATTTTTTTTTTTTTTTCAGACTCAGGAGTCATGTATTTGGTATCAGACAAGGGTACAAATGTTTTTGAGCTCAATGCTTTTAAAGAAAAGTTTCGATCATGGTTTATTGGAGAAACAGTTCAGAGGGGTGAGTTGAATTAAAAACAATTTATTGTGTGCTTTTTCTTACAAAATCATTGCTATAGAAAGCTGGAAATGAATTTGTTATAGTACATTTTCAAAAAAGATTAAGTTGAAATAATGAACTATGATTAGGGAAAAAATACGAGGAAAAAAATTGAATGCAAATAATAATATTTTTTAAAAAATAAATTATTTCAGATGGGGATATCTATTTTACGACTCCTGTTGATCCATTGTTTCTGGTGTTGCCATATCTAATAAATGCTGGAGAAGTCAGTAGTGTTATAATCTTTAAAAATGCTAAATAACTTGTAGTTAAAGTTAAAGGACCATAACATGTAAAATTAAAAATAACTTTAATTTAGAATAGCTTATGTCCTTAAAAGTGTGTTTATCCACCTCCAGTGTTTAACTTTGACAAACAAAGTGAGGGGGGTGTGGTAAAAATGCAAATTTAATCATGGGTTGCCATCACACCTGTCTCACTAAGCACTCACAGCCTGTCTCACTAAGATCACTCACAGCCTGTCTCACTAAGATCACTCACAGCCTGCCTCACTAAGCACTCAGCCTGTCTCACTAAGATCACTCACAGCCTGTCTCACTAATATCACTCACAGGCTGACTCACTAAGATCACTCACAGCCTGTTTCACTAAGATCACTCACAGCCTGTCTCACTAAGATCACTCACAGCCTGTCTTACTTTGATCACTCACAGTCTGTCTCACTTTGATCACTCACAGCCTGTCTCACTGAGATCACTCACAGGCCTAATAAGCATTTAAAGAATTTTCATCATTTTTTAAAAAAAATCATGTTTCAACCAGTCTTGACCTTGCCAATTTGTTTACATCCACAGAATAACCGCTACATGGCTATAGACCAAATTGTATTAGATGAAGAATTCCCAGAGTGTCACAAACTTTCTACTTGTTTTGGCAAGGGACAGCTGGAGTTGATTACAGACTGGAAAGGTAACCTAGGATTTTATTTTATATTTAAAGACATGTTGTAAAGTATTACACATTTATGTCAGAATTTTTTGTTGACATTGTGATCACTTACAGCCTTTAAGCCATTTTTCAAATATTCAAATTACAATCCAATAAAACTTATTTGATGACTAGAAATAATTGGACCAAGGCAGACTGCAAAATTTGGGAGAAGAATGAAACGGGATCTGTTAAAAAGTATTTTATTCTTTCAATAACATTGTTACTTGATAAATGGAAGATTGTTTAAAGTTTTTTGTTTATTTCAGAAATTGATGATGAAATGAAAGTGTATCGCTACAATAAAGAAAAATGTATGGCATGGCTCAAGTCAAAGGTGAGATCAACACAGTTGACAATGAAACTTTCACCTTAAAAATGGGATTACTATGACCTAATTTCTTATCGTCATAAAACTAATCAGTTAACAGATGCAATGAAATCGGCGACCGATTTATGAGTTGAACATTTTTAACATCAAGTTTCAAGCATCGATAATTAAGATTTTCGGATAGTTCCCTTTCAAACAACAATGGATACAATTTTTGTATAATTCTCACAATTTTCCTCTATCTTGCATGAAAACATTTCAAGTGTTAAATTTTTTAAAGAAGTTCTTACAAGTTAATTTCTCATGTTTCGGCTTACTATGTATGTCAAAATAATGCAATTTGTTATTGGCTTTAGTGAAGTGTCAGTTTTTTTATTATGTTGTGCAGTTTTTAGAAAAAACAATGTTTGATTAGACGATTGTCTGACCAACATAGCCAAGGATTATTTGTCATTTTTTTTTTATAAGAGGGTACAGTTTTTCTCTAATAAAATTATAAAATCCAGTCCTGGAGCCTGGTCATTCTCGAGGCTGTTTGCTGAACCCCCAGGTTTGTGTTGGGCCCTTTTGTTTAAGATATGTTAAATCTTTGAGGAGGCAGTTGCTGATGCTCTGGGGCGTACTTTTTAAAAAATAAGCTAAATCTTTGAACAGACAGAGGCAGTTGCTGATGCCCTGGAAAAGAAGAATGTTCAGGTCAGCACCAAAGGTTCTCACAGTGCAATATTTATTCGCAGCAAGGACACTGACAACTCCAGAGGTAAGACTTTGACTTCAGACTTTCATTTCAGATGCTAGTTTTGTCACACTTCAGATTATTGATCCTGTTTATTTATCAAGTCTTATTAAAATTGATTTTAAAATAGCATGCTACTTGTTCTATGAATGAGATCCCATAAGATTTTTCCATATTTCATTCATTTTTTTTAAAGAATCCTACTTGGAGTTTGCACATGGTGTTGTCAGCGATTATTTGGCTTTAGCTGTGGAAAAGGAACTTAAGACTTTTCTGGGGTAAGTGTTCTGGCTAAAACTAATAGCCTCATAAATTAATTGATTTCTGTTAAACTTTTTAAAATTCTAACATAATCTTGTATATAAATTATTTAAAGGTAATGGGTTTTTTCTAATTCAAATTGTCACCTTGGGACCAAGTAACATGTAGTTGGGAATAGGGCCACCATTTTACACTGTTCAGCATCTAGTAAATGCACAATGCTCAAAAAGGGGTAACCTAGATACATATATATTAAAACCAATTTATGTGTACCAAGGCCTTGAGAGGTTTTCATATAATTTCTGCAAAATATTGTTATAATTTTTTTTAATGCACCTTTTATAAATATCTTAATGAAATTGTTTGTATACATCAATACTGTAAATTATCCATTGTTTCCCAAATACTTGAGGCCTTATAGAGTTTTTCTGTTCTATCTTGCAATAATTTTTTTTTTATAAATGTGATTAAAAATTAATTATTTTATAATTTTCTTGACATCCCAGTCTACCTGAAGTAAATGAAAGCGCCAGTACCCCTGAAAATGAGCCTCCTTCAAAGGTAATTATCTCTAAATAAACTTTTCTTTGTTAACAATTACATATTAGGCTTTATTTAATGCAAACACAATAAGAAATATTGTAAGATTAAAACAGTTGCTTGAAAGTTTAATCCAGTATATTTGTTTCTATATCTACTATTCCTACAAAGTAATTGAATTTATCCATAAGTGGCTATCAATATTTCCCAAGTATAACTTAACAGAGAAGCCAGATTGAGGTTTCATGTATTTCCAAGAATTTTACTTAGTTTTTTTTTTTTTTATATACTTATGTAGAAAGTTAAACTTTCCACTGATGTGAAACCTTTGGAGGACTACAGCATTAAACTAGATACAAAGAAGGACAAATCCAAGGTAAAACTTCAACATTCAGTCTGATCCAATCTTGTCTCTAGAGCTCCTTTTTGCTTCGTCAGCCGTAAATTTACCATGGTGCATTTTATTTGAGAGGGGGGGCTATAATAAGCTGATATCAGATTTACTTTTGACTTCAAGCGTAATATTTTAATTGAAAATTGAAAGAATTTTAGAATGTGGCTCAGTATTTTTGAAAACAAATATTTCTAAATTAAGGTGTTCCATTGCGACTATTCCATTTCAAAAAAAAATTGTTGGTGAACTTAGGTCTGTTTTTTTTTTCTTTCTTGTTTTTTCAAATTATCATCTTTGGTGGTTTTCTTTAGGAATATCTTTTTTTTATCAAGTTCTACCTTTCTTTTCTCAGACAGGCAAGCAAAGTGCAGCTCAAAAGCAACTCAGCAAGGTTGACAAGTCGGGCATGAAAAGTATGATGAGCTTTTTCTCACCAAAATCATGAGGACTAGCTGTCATTTCGTTGGTTTTTTTATCCTAAGGGATGGAAATACATACATCTTAATTTTTAAAATGTCAAACTTAAGCCATTACCTGAACGAAGTATGCATATGACTTCTGTTTTTTTTTGTTTGTTTAATGGATGTGTTGACAAGGAATGCTTGTCATTGGTGGTAATATAGATATTAAAAGCATCACTCCTGGTCCAAAGTAGGACTTAGTGGAGGAATTCAGTACAGTTTTAAGTGCATAATAACACCATTGAGTGTTGTAAAGTTAAAGTTTTCTCATCATTCATCCCCTTTATGAAAACATTTAAGTCTTAAACCATAAGAGGACTACATTTGTAACAGGCATTTTCAACATTAAAATATATCACATTGGTTTCAGAATTTAAAAAAAAATAGCCTATTGGTGCAAATCCAATGCATGATTGAGCTGCTTATGTAGATTCAATGAATACTCTAATTTGTGAACCTTCTGAATTGCAACAAGTCAATCTATGTGAACTTTTAATGCATTTATTACATGAAATCATACATTTTTAAAGGCATTGATTTATACTGATTTACTGTAATTCTTTTGCACTCACTATCTTTTCATTAATTACATATAATGGGGGGAGGTAGGGGCGTCCACATTATGTTCATTATCAACCTTAAAAAAGGTGATTTAAATTCATGACAATAGTTTTGGTAGATGCTCCAGAATAACTTCTTTGTAGGGCTCAGCTGGGTTAAGTATTTTTACACCTTGTCTGGGTCCGGGTACCTTTAGACAATACCTGGTGGGTCCGCGTGTTACAAAAAAAAAAAAAAAAAAAAAAAAAAATTATCTTCTCATTTTCTATAATGTGTTCCACAAAATGGGGAGAGGTGAAGGTGCATGTATAGAATCAGTAGCGATTACGAAGGCATTTAAGTTGAAGGATTCAAAACACTAATAGCTTAATAGTATAATCCTAACCAAGCTATTCTCAACCTTTTTAGTGCCACGACCCCTTGATAACATATTCTGAGTAGTGGCAATCCACAGCCAGAATTATACCCTGAAATAGGGAAACAGGTTAGAATGGGGAGGGGCAGATTTTTTTTTTTTTTTTTTTTTGATAAAACTAATAAAAGGTTTTAGCACTTAAATTTTGATCAGGGGTGGAGGGAAGCAGAAATAAGGGTGGAGGGTTCTATAGAGAAGGTTCTTTAAGTAGATCCCCATAATTTTTTTTAATAAATTCACACACCTGGTTATGGTTTTGCATAGAAGTGGAAGCTGCCAACTTTTTAGGGGGGGGGGGTGTTTAAAAAAATTAAATCATAAAAACTTTAATTTTTATTTAATGAAAATAAAATATTTATATTGTATTGAATTAGCTACAGACATCTACATCATATCTTTTAAATTTGATATAGCTATAGTGTAGTAACAATAAGAAACAAGTCCGGTCACTTTTGAAATGAAAATTAAAAATGCACATTTTACATACAAAACCCCTTCTTCTTTCTTAATCTTAGTGACTTAGATGGAAACCCCCCTCCCCTTTTCCCCTCATTTCTCTACTGGACTAATAGTAATGGCATTTGTTCTACAGTTAATAGCATTTTGCATCACAGCATTTGATAATTTGTGTTCAATAAATAAAGCAGGAAAGATATGACTCAGACACAGCTAATTGAATTTTTTTTAACAATTGGCAGTTTGTACATTTATTTAAGTGTGATAAACAAAAAGCAGTATATTTTTTTAATTCACCTTTTATGTCTTAATGTAATGTCGTTGATTGTGTTAAAAATATACACTTCAAAAGTGGTTGATGGGATTCAGCAATTTCAAAAAATCATCTCTATACAAATTATTTTTATTTTCCCCTATTAAAATAAATATTTAACATAGCCTATAATAATAGCCACTCAATAGCCTTCCTTCCAACAATAAAGCATTTTTTTAACATGATGTTGAGCAATAATTCACAAAAATCTGATAGTGTTTCCAGTTTTTTTATTTTTTCTGATAAACCAACAAAAAAAAAATATTACTCAGATTGGGAGCATGTACACACCAGTTACTAAAATATAAATGATGGATGGAAAAATAAACAATGAAATGGATTTCTTTTAATTTTAATTAACATAATGACACAGAGGAAATAAATTTAAATCCTGAACTTTTAATTAACTGTTACCTCTTCTAGAATAACACATTTAAATTTAACAATTTTTTTTTATTCCATTTTTTAAATTTAAATGTCCAATAGTGAAAAGAAAATCCACTGCTGAATTGAATAATTGGCACTTATTTATTTTTTTCAAAAGTTAATGATGTGTCAAGAAATATATGGTTAGTGAATGATTACAACTTGATAACAAAAGTGTTGATTCAGAAAAGTAATTAATTTTAACAGATAACATTCTAAATTGTTGCAAACAAAATGATAATAAAACAAATATTAATAAAAATCCCTTATTTTCTCATTTGGACAGAATGTGTAGTTGGGATGTTTTAACATAATTAAAGTTTTTTTTTTTTTAAATTAAGTAAATTTCACAGCCGAAATAGTTATTTATTGATATAAAATTATTACTTTCTCTAAAAACATCAGGTGAAAAGACACAGAGAAATAAACAATATCTTAACAATATCCACACTAGGTATCGCTAGGCTCCATCCACATTTAGCTTCCCCTACGTCCTCAGTAAAGTTTTAATGGCTTGGGCTACACGCGAGCGATTCAATTTTCTGTCAGCCATCGTCATAAAATAAATTATCACATTTAATGTTACCACAAAACTCCTTAAGGGACAATCAAAGCTTATCATCTTCAAATGTAAACTACATATTATTTTTTTTAATGCTTAGACTGAATACCAGGCCATTTAACAATTGTAGCCACGGACATCCTTTGTGAAAAGTCATTAATAGCTTTAATCGGGTCAATGTGTTACTACCTCATAATTTTGAAATTAAATTAAAATACCATCAATACCGTACTTTGATCCCTAGTTGTCAAATCCATTGCTAGCCTCTAAACAAAATTCACTTCTTCCCCTCCCCCAACCCCCTTTTTAAACAAACGGTTGTCTGCTTACTGGCAAGCTAAAGTTCTGACATTTTAACGAGATGATCGACTTTTGGTGCTTCTTGAGCTCTTTATGCTGGACATTGAGCTGTGGGCTGTGCTGCCGGCTGGAAAAAAAGAAATTAATTTGTCAATGTAAGCTTTTATCAGATCCCAGCTTTGTTTGTAGAAATACAAAACAGGCCCCCAAAGGCTATGCAACCTTACCTTGAAATTGAATTGAAAAATTATCTCCCTTGGATATACACTACAGAAAACCTTTTAGCTTTACCAATAAATATTAATTTATGGTATTGAGTTTTCTAATTTACTAAAGCCAAATCTGGTGTGATGGGCCAGTCTAAGTCTCTGTACAAGAGAATATTTTTTTTCTTTTTCTTCGGAATTCACACTAAAATATAAAGCAAAATGAAAGCATTACAGTTGACTAATTCATGTTAACCAAAAATAATATGAATGCTGTCTAACAAAGCTTCCTTTTAGCTCCACATTTCAATAGCCACATGATCATGTAACAAAGAATAATTTAAAATTCGTGATATTTTCAATTCCGACACCATGAAAATGAGATATATTTGCTATCTTCTTCAACTTTGAATGGCATTTAGGATGCAAGCCAACAAAAAATAATGAAAGAACTCACCATCAAAACCAATGTTTACAGTTGGAGCACTACGTGCTGTTGAACTATTGCTTCGTACACTGCTCAGACTACTGCGGGCACTTCCTGAGGCACTACCGTGATGACCAATGGGAATGTTGGCCTGAGACAAAGAGATTCTATTAAAAAGCTCGCTTTCAAAATGCATGCAGCAAGCATTTTTTTTTTTTAATTTTATGAAAGGAAAAAAAAAATTAAAAGCACAAAGAAGATAATTACTTCAATACTAAAGAGAGACAGTAATTTTAATTTTGAACAGGCATATGAGATAATGATTTCAATAATCATGGGAGACAATTTCAAATTTCACCAGTCATGGGAGAATTGAACTTGAAGGGACCAGCAATGAAAAGAATCTTCAAAACTTCATTTTATTCTGAACTGAAAAGTAGTCTGAAATCCTGTTTGAGATCAATTATCACTATTTATTGGATACAAACTGCTCAAGTCCTATAAATAAGTTTTTAATAAGATACCTGAGAGAAATACAAAGAAACAGCTTCCTGTATCTCCGGGTAAGCCGAGGCCGCCTCACCAACCATTTTCATGACTGTCTTGTTGAACTCTCGCAGTTCCCGCACAACAAAGTCTTTCTGTGGAGCAGAAGACAGATACCCCGGTTTACAGTTTTCATTGAGATAAAATGTCAAAGGAAATCAAATTTTGAGTAATGTCATTCAGTTAATTTGTAAAAAATCTGAAATGAATGAAAACTCCTGTATGATGCCACAATGTGGAGTTTGATCTTGTAGCATGACTTTCAGCACACTCTTGGCTACCTAACTCCATGCAGGTACACGATCATGGTAATAACTGAAAGATAACTCAATAGTCACATATATCATAAAGATTTTTCTCTTATACAGAGTACAATTTTTTTTCAAATAAATAAAATAGTTAAGTAATTGCAGATTAAAAATACTATGTTTTAAAACACGCTCCGCATTCAGTAATAAATTCAGACACCCACCATTCTTCCACCCCCCACACACATACAGAAACAGCAACCTAAGCCATAGGAACAGATTGATCACAAGATACAGTTAGAAATTTAAAATTGGAATCTTTTCCAGACAAAAAAGCTCTCCCACCTCTTCAGGCAGTTCCTCTTTGGCTCTCTTGGCAGCTCTCACTTCCTTTGACAGTCGGATATTCTAATAAGTAGATACAAATATAACATCTCTATATATACATTATACATATGTGTAAAGGAATCTTAAATTCTTCTTTTTAAATTATTTAAAGAAAAGTAAAATAATGAACATGGAATTTAATTTTTTTTTTAACTTTAAAATAAATAAAAAATGTTTGTGGAGCGCAAGAATAAAAAAAAAATGTGTTGTTTCATTCTAACCTGTTTTGCTACTCGTTCAAGCTTAGCTCTCTGATCTTCAATCTCTTTATTTAACTGATTGATTTTGTTCTGGAATAAAAAAAACAAGCTATTGTAAGTTCCAGTCATGTGGGACTGGCTAGTCTAGATACAAACTAGCCAGCGTAAACCATTACCCAGTCACTGAGCGAACAGCAATACCAACCTAGCTATCACACAACCATAATAACCTAGTCATAACTGCCATATTAACCTAGCTATAACACAGCCATAATAACCTAGTCATAACATTGCCATATTAACCTAGCTATCACTATCACACAGCCATACTAACCTAGTCATCACATTGCCATATTAACCTAGCTATCACTCAGCCATAATAACCTAGCCATCACATTCACATTGCCATACCAACCTAGAAAGCACACAGCCATACCAACCTAGCCAGCACACAGCCATATCAACATAGCTAGCACGCAGCCATACCAACCTAGCTAGCACACAGCCATACCAACCTAGCTATCACAACTTTGTATTACCTTACTCAGCATATAGTAGTACCCAGTACACAGCCATGCTAACCTAACCTTCGTAGTGCCATACCAAGCCAGCTATTGCACAGGTGCACTAACTTATACATCATATAGTAATAGTAGTACCCACCCATTCGGAACACAGCCATACCAAGATAAGACATAATGTAGTTAATCATAGGAATCAAATTTAATAACCTGCATATTTTTGTAAGACAATACCTCTTACCTTCTTGTCTTCAATCATAGCCACATAAGCGTCTTCATCCCTTGTCAAAGTGTCCAGTGTCATACTCATGGTCTGAAAAAGTCAAACAGATGGGAACTGACCAGTGGTCAAAATGACACAGATATATGTATAAAGGAGTATTTTGAGATTTCACCCACAAATACAAGTTTAGTGGTAAAATATCAAGGGGAGACTACTTATTACATGCAAGTCGTCCTGCAGCTCTCGTATCTGTCGTCGCTTATACTTGTATTTATCCATCACTGCTCTCATCTGTTCGTCCAGCTGTCTTTTCTCATCCATCTCGTCACCTTTGGTATGATGCAAACAAAAGAATTATCCAAGTGCAACAATGAGATCAGTATAAATCAACCAACAAAAATGATCTAAACGATTTTTTAAAACTTCAAAACAAACACATAGTTATTTTCCAAATTATTAACCAGAATCCTAGTTTTTAGTTCTTCCTTCAATGAAAATTGCTTTGGGAAACAAATGATTTCAACAAGAACCCGCCTCACTTGTTTCCGTGATTTTGTTGAAGCTCTTCCTGTATTGTTCATTTCGTCCGTTCATCAGTTTCAACGTGTTCTCCAAAGCTCGGATCTCCTTCTCAGCTTTCCTGATCTTTGCGTCGAGCCCATCTCCCTCTCTCTGGCAAGTCACAACAAATTTGTTTATTTAACTTTACACTCAGAGCTTATGTTACATTTTTAGTTCCATCAAATCATTTTATAGAAATTAGTTAAATAATTTTAGAGTTTTAAATTTATATTATATAACATATATAGCTAAAACATTGTGTCAATGTTTTAAAACTCAAAAATAACAATTTTCTCATTTCTAATGATTTTATTGTCTTACCTAACAAGATGTAATGATTTTGTTTTCTTACCTGTAGTTCCTCTTTCTCCTGAGCTGCTTTTATGACATAATATGCTTGTGACTTCTCTTCCTCTCCGACTGGGGCTGACATAGAAACTATCAAAATTTCATACCTGTGAAGCATTGCGTTGGTTAGTTGGTCAATTCTCAAAGGAAACAAATCATATAGAGAGATGACAACAAACTAAATCCATTTACATATGAAAGTTATAAATAGGCCTAAACAAGTTGTAGTTAAAATGTCTAAAATATTTTTATCATGGAGCCCACAAAAACCTTAAACGTAAGACAGATGACCAGACCTTTTCTTGAGCTTGTCAATCTTTGATATCCTCTCATGTAGTTCAGCACTGATCTGCTGCCTCTCCTCATCCGTGGCCTTGATCTGTGCAGACAGCATCTCCTTGTGGATCTTGATCTCCTCGTGTCTCTCCTTCATGGCCTTGACAAGAGATGCGTAACGTAGTTTGACATTGTTAACTTTAAAATTGTTAACTTTTTACACTGATAACTTTAGCAACGATAACTTTCACATTAATAACTTTTAAAATTTTCTCTTTTTTATTAATAGCTTTATCATTGCAAATTTTAAAAATTTTAAACTTATATATTGTTAGCCTCCCTCCATCTTTTGGGTCTCTAACAACTTAGGCAGCAAGTTAAAAGTAAGGATTTTTAACGCTATGGTAAAACCTGTGCTGCTATATGGAGCCGAGACATGGAGAACAACGGCCGTAAACCTGACCAGAATCCAGTCCTTCATCAACAACTGTCTAAGAAGGATTCTCAGAATTCACTGGCCAGACAAAATCAGCAACCAGGAACTGTGGCAGCGGACAAAACAGAAACCCATTGAGGAAGAATAAACCTGACCAGAATCCAGTCCTTCATCAACAACTGTCTAAGAAGGATTCTCAGAATTCACTGGCCAGACAAAATCAGCAACCAGGAACTGTGGCAGCGGACAAAACAGAAACCCATTGAGGAAGAGATTCTCCAGAAGCGGTGGAGGTGGATTGGTCATACACTAAGAAAACCTGCTTCTAACACAACAAAGCAAGCCCTGAAATGGAACCCACAGGGTAAGCGGAAAAGAGGCCGTCCAAGAAACACTTGGCGCCGAGAATTGGAGACAGACATCAAGAAAATTGGCCATGAATGGAAGATCCTGGAGAAGCTGGCCCAGGATAGAGATGCCTGGAGGTCTCTCGTAGGTGGCCTATGCCCTTGGAGGAACCGCAGACGCCGACGATGATCGGTGGATGCCCCTCACGGACGAGAAGGCTCAACAACAACCTCCCTCCATCTTTGCAAGAGTGGACTGATATTTGTGTGTAAATTTTAAAAACAGTGAAATAAAACAAGTGCATTCAGAAGTAAGTAATGTTCCACATGAACCTCTCAAACATGATTAAACATATGACAGAGAGGAAAACGTTTTACACTGTAACCACTTTGGATGCTGATGATAAATTGCTGTAACTAAACCAGTCATGCAAGCCAACTGTAACCACTTTGGATGCTGATGATAAATTGCTGTAACTAAACCAGTCATGCAAGCCAACTGTACAGTTTACCCCAATTTGTGCAGTTTTCAAGCATGTTTGTGGAGTTGTAAGGCCGTACAAGCCTTCGGATGGTTTTCCGCTGGATTTAGAAAAGAAAAAAATGTTCCCACAAGACACACCTTCAAAGCTGGCGGTGCAATAAATGGTGCAACGTTGGATGACAGGAGGCTTAAATCCTCTTGGTCCATTCAAAAAGACCCCATTGCAGACTGGCAGGGCATCTACATTTTTAAACTGAGCGCTGTTTCATTGATATCATTCGTTAATACTAAGACGGCACAGTGCTGTAGTGGCTATTTTGGGTAGTAAACCATCAATACAAATAATTACATATCCGTTCTTTGAATTCTTAACACAAACTGCAGAGTTGTTAAGTGTTCTTTTAACTTCTGATAAGTAATTAAATATATTTAATATTACTGTCAACAACTAGTATTAGTCATTATTCCTATTTATGACTAGGGCATGGCTAAGATTAACACGCTATTGATTTCTAAAACTGAACGGAGTTGGGATTTTGTTTAGTATATGGCCCAAGTATATGTTATTTGGAGACAAAAAAATCAGAGCATTGTACAGTATATTATATTATATAATATATTATTTTTGTTTTTATTATTTTACTCCATCTGGGAACTTCCAATTAACCTTTTATATCCACATGCCCCATAGGGGTTTTTAAAAAAAAAAACTTCTATCACCATGACATTTTCCACATGTATAGTGAAAAAAGAGGTTGTAAGTTGGTACGGTAAAATAAATTCAATAACTCGGTCAATATCTGTTCTGACGTTGTTTTACTTCGATAATTTAAATACAGGAATCTGTATTACTACAGCTAGCAATACTAGCATATTTATCCAATGAATTATGTTTACCTACATCTAAATTGCTATCAAATTCATCGTCTTAGTTATAAATTACACTTTTTACATTTTTTCCATACAGTTGTTCATGTTGTACAGTTTTTTTAAACTTTTTGTACCAGTACAAATTTTAATCTCACAGGTTGGCATGCATGAGTTAGTTTTACCTTGATTTATAACTGGGAATGGAAATCCACAATAAGATTTCTTTAAAAGATTTTACCATTTGGCTTTTGCATATATGTTAGAAAAGCTTTATTTATTTGTAAAACAAGTTACTCTGAGAATTTTGTAAGCCTCAAAGACACAAGAAAACATGAATTTTAAAGTCATCTTATTGACTGGTGTATTCCAAGTGTCAGTAAATTTTATTTTATATTTTTCAAGAGCAGAGCATTTATTTTTTTAACATTTCAACAATTAATTTTTACTGCATTTGAAAATCTTTAGACCCTAGCTTAAAGATAAATGGTGTCTAGCTTCTGCATTATCTCCTTCTGCTTTATGAGCTCCCAGCAAGCTCTATAAGACTGATCATCACTCTGCTCCTTGCTGGAGAGACACAGCTCTGGACAATGCAACACGCCATAAACAAATTATATTGTTAAATAAATGTAAAAGCAACACACAAAAAACACTAACTGTATCAAGTTGGAGCTTCCTCTTCTCCATGGACATGACATCATCAGCGCGTGAGTTGAGCAGATCCCGTAGTTTTCGGATCTCAAGTTTCAGTAGATTCTCATCCACCATGGCATTCTGACATTTGAACAAATCAACACCCAATTTTATTTCATTGGAGAATTAAACAAAGGAGAGTTGCAGGGAATGGAAAAATAAAGAAAAAATTGAAGGTAGAGTACATAGGAGAGTTACAGAAAGTATTACATGGAGCCAGCATTTTTTTTTTTGGAGGCAGACTATATATATATATATATATATATATTTATATATGTAAACCATATGTTTAACAAATATTCAATAAAAATAAATATAATCCCAAAGTATGATGAGCTACAGGGCAAGAAAATTTCTGATTCTGTAATTTCTTTTTGAAGGCACATTTCTTATTTCTTTTTTATATTTGGCCAATGAACTGCTAAAATGGACGCAGGTTGGAGTACAGGCCCACTGTTCTCATATCCCGTCATTATTTCTAGATGTAAAGACACTTACCTGCTTGTTCTTTGTCTCTTTCTTCAATTCCACCTCTGAGTTGTCATTGTAAAGGTTCAGCTCCACTATTTTGATGTCCAAATCTTGTTTCTCAGCACTGGTGGCCTCCAGCTGTCTTTTGGATCTACGGATGTCATCCTGTTACAACATACAACAATGTTCAGTTACAACAAACTGCAATCACATTCTCCCACAACATGCAACAGAATGATCATGTCACAACATATGATATTTTAATTTCACAGCACACAACAATATCTCTGTTATAAAATACATGATCATCATATTGCAGCATACAACAATTAGGATATGTTAGAACAAACAAAAATATCATCATGAAACAACCTTAAAAATATCCTCCTGTCACAACATAAAACAACATCATCCTATTACAACTACAATCATATTATTATTTGATAAGCTCAGTACCATTTAAAAAAAAAAAAATTGTTTGTTTAAGTGAGGTGTAAGCTACTATGACTAACTTTTTGCTGCGCCAAGACAGTTTAGTGAGATTTGATTAGGCTCATGTTTATGTTCAGTAACTATTGTGTAGGTTGACTTGTCAGGTTTAAAAATAAAGAAAAAAGACACCCCACCCCAACTTTGTAATCTGTCACACTAGGACCCTGCCTATTCTGCCTTGTCACACTATGCCCCTGCCTATTCTGCCTTGTCACACTAGGACCCTGCCTCCTCTGCCTTGCCACACTAGGACCCTGCCTACTCTGCCTATCTGGAAACCCAAGACTGTGTGAGCCTTTAATCGCTACATTAAATTGTTTAACGATAAGGCGATAAAGGATAAAATAAGCATATAACTCCATGAAAGTATTTGAATTGAAGAGTAAAGATATGAACCAACATATGACAGAAGGAGTGCATAACCACGTACACTTTTATCTATGTCAACTGTTAAATACCCATATCAATTTACCTGAAGACATTTTAGTTACCTGAAGACATTTTAGTTTACCCGAAGACATTTTAGTCTACCCATAGACATTTTAGTTCACCTGGGGACATATCAATTTACCTGGAGACATTTAGTTTACCTGGAGACATATCAGTTTACCTGAAGACATATCAGTTTACCTGAAGACGTTTCAGTTGTGTACTGATCATGTTGTATGTCTGGTTCTCACTGTCCAGGTCGACAATTAGTTGTTTACACTTGGCCTCCAGTATTGTCTTCTGCTCAGTGTTGTGCTCGCCCTGCATGCGGATCACACGCCGCTCCAGTTGCTGCAGGTTAAAGTCCTGGGGAGGAGGGGAGAATGGCGGCGTGATCAATCAGATTATGGGATGAAATATTTGCCAGATGCTTAACAAATAATTGTTCTTGAGATTTTCAAACAAGGACAACTCTTCTTTTTTTTTTTCCTCTCATTAATTCCACGAAGGAGCTGAGGGCAGTTGAAATCTTTCAGTTGAAATGTGTTTATTTTTCAACTATTTGTAAATGTTTGAGCTCTTAGTGCTAGTGTGCATGTAGTGAGCTATTAGCATTAGCGGGTATGAAACTATTTATTACTGTTTCAGCTATGAGTATTAGCGGGTATGAAACTATTTATTACTGTTTCAGCTAATAGAAATGAAGTATAATGTTAATAAAATAACACAAAAGTTTGAGAACCCCCCAAGCATCCCTTTGTCTCATATTATCTTCAATTGTTTATGGTGTTTATGTATAACAAATGTCGTCGTTGTATACCCACCCCCCTTAAGCCCCCCCCCACCCCGCCCTTAAACACCACCATTACTGATGATAAAATTGCTCCCTCAATGAGATGACTTAGCCTCTAACCTGGCTGTAAAGAATCTCTTGTTGTTTCAGGGCATCGGAGTCCAGGCGGTGAATCTTACTGTTCAGATTCTTGATGGCATTTTGTGCCCCCTGGAAAAGTTTGTAACAGTTTAATACAGGAAAAAAATTGAAAAAAAAAACAACACATAGAGAATATAGAGCATAATAAAAAATAAAATAAGATGATGATATAAAGTATTAGGCCCATATGATGGCTGATTTTAGCACTTGAGAATTACTTTAGATGTCTTGTGTTTAAATTGTTCTAGTTTTAAAATGTTTGTCTTTGTAAGAATATTATATTAAATATTTAACTTGATATTTAAAAAAACATGTCCATTTATTTGAATCTTATCTAAGTGTATCTTATCTAAGTTTATCTTATCTTAATGTATTATGTCTTATCTTTTATTAGTGTAACTTATCTTATCTTATTTTATCTTAAATCAAGATAGGAAATGAACAAACAGAATTCACAGCTCACATTGATTGAAGCCTCAGTCATCTTCTCCACAGCTTTAGCTTCGTTCAGCTCTTTCCCCTTACGGTACAGAACTTCTTCCAGGAACTTCAGGTCAAATCTCATCTGTTCTTGTCTTTTCTCTTCCAAATTCAAGATCTGCTCCATCTTCGTGGCCTGGTCCTCTGCACTTAGAGTTGCCTCCACTGCCTGTTTTAGAGTCTCCACTAACATCAGCCGTGTGGACGTTGTCTGGGTGAGCCTGTAGGAATATTTGATATCATCAAGATGGGATTAATGAGAAAATAATAAATTTTACAGGAAAATTTTACAAAATATTACTAGTTGTTTATGATGTCAATTAATCTAATTCAAAACTTATTTGGAAGTAAATAATAAGTAGCGCTCTGTTTGCATTCAGATTACCATATATACTCGTTCTCAGGCATTTAAAAAAAAAAATATTACAGGGGAATAAGTGAAGCTGTCGCCTAATGAGCGGGTCATAGGAGACTATTCAAATTTTCTCCAGTTACATTGATTAATGACATTTTTCTTGTGGATCCCAGAAGTCCTTGTCTACATATGCTCTACAAGATTCAGATATGTTACCAGAAGCATGAAAAAACAAAGATCCTGGAAGTAGATGGCGCCACTATTCAGTTGTTTCTAGCACCAGCATAAACTCATCCTAGATATTTTTTGGTACAGTATTGCTTACAATAGACTATTATTTTATGGGGTCGGCTTGTCCGCAGGCTTGTACAATTTTCAGGGTTTTTGCTGTCCAAAACTAAAGGGGTCTGCTTATGGACTATAGAACGAGCATCAACAGTAACAATTACACAATTATTTCTTCATGTTTTTTCCATCAATTAATTACTTTTATTATCTTCGGCAACCATCCCTTATTCTGTTCAATTTTCTTTTCAGATTATTATTTACTGTATGCATCTTTATAATTTTTATCAGATTTTCAACTAATGGCATTATGTGATCAGTGAATAAGTACTTATTATTCTTGTCCACAGCTTCTTTCTTTAAATGGTTCACTGCTGTACGGCTAACTTCCAAGTCCAGTGCAGTTCTGTCCACAGTACGTTTCAGTGTAGAAAGCTGGATTATGATAAACAAATAACATTTCAATTACTTTAAGATACTTTGTGTTGACCATAGATCAAATTTTGGAATATGAAATCTTAAGTTAAAAATTTTTAAATCGGAAGGTGAAACACTGCCCTGTGGGTATTTTTACTCAAGACTTGTCACCCTGTCAAACCAAAGACTATCTTGGATCCACCACCCTATTAAACCTAAGACTAACTCAGATCAACCACACTGTCAAAACAAACATTCCTAAATCCACCAACCTGTCAAATCACTCAGCTCCACCAACCTGTCAAAACCTAAGACTATCTCAGATCCAACAATGTCAAAGTAAAGAATATCTCAGATCCACCATGCTTTCAAATCAAAGACTATCTCAGATCCACCACCTGTCTAACCACTCAGCTCCACCAACCTGTCAAAACCAAAGACTACCTCAGATCCACCACCCTATAAAACCAAAGACTATCTCAGATTCACCACTCTGTCAAACCTAAGACTATCTCAGATCCACCAGCCTGTCAAACCAACTATCTCTCAGGGCCATCAACCTATTAGACCCACTATCCTGTGTAAGAGCAAAAGTAACATATTATCTTAACCACACTGGGCACAGACTCCCCAAGGCACTCACCTCATTCTCAAACTGTTGTTTCTTGAGTTCCAGCTCCTGCAACTCGTGTCTGGTTCGGGCACTTATCCTCTCAGCTACAGATATTTTCTTCTCCTGTTCTACATTGTTCTCAATTTCCTGCTCCAAGAACTGACGTTTTTCACTGATCATTTCTTCATGTCGACGAGTGTCCTGTTTTATTGTAGCTAATTTCTGGGAAGTAAAAGTAAACATTTAGACATTACAATTAGGTATAAAGGTAAGACTCGGACATTACAATTTAGGCCTGCGGGTAAATATTTGGACTTCACAATTATGTCTAAGGGTAAAGATTTGGACTTCACAATTATGTCTAAGGGTAAGATTTGGACTTTATATCTATGTCAACAATATCATATTAACCAAGAATAAATAAAGATTGTTCAAAGACAGCATTTTATGCTATCTTCCACTTTGGCGCAACTACCTACATTCTTTCATGTAGCAGAATACTACGTTTTTTTGTATCCAAGTGACCAAGTCATTTTATACCTCCCAAGTGCACCCTCTTTTCTCCAATACTTTCTTCATCCCTTTCAATCTAAAATCTTTCAGTGTCTCCTTTTGCCCTTCCTTGGATTGGTGCATGACCCTGGCCAAATTTTTCTGTCCAACATTTAGTGGTGACATCAGTTGTACTCTTGACAAGTCAAATAAAACTACTTGATGATGGTAACTCATAGGTCAAAACATGACATGATGGTAGCCCTTGGGTCAAAACATAACATGATGGTAGCCCATGGGTCAAAACATGACATGATGGTAGCCCATCGGTCACAAGATGACATGATGGTAACCCATGGGTCAAAACATGACATGATGGTAGCCCTTGGGTCGAAACATGACATGATGGTAGCCCATGGGTCAAAACATAACATGATGGTAGCCCATGGGTCAAAACATGACATGATGGTAGCCCATGGATCAAAACATGACATGATGGTAGCCCATGGATCAAAACATGACATGATGGTATTGGTAGCCCATGGGTCAAAACATGACATGATGGTAACCCATGGGTCAAAACATGACATGATGGTAGCCCATGGGTCAAAACATGACATGATGGCAACCCATGGGTCAAAACATGACATGACGGCAACCCATGGGTCAAAACATGACATGTCGGTAACCCATAGGTCAAGACATGAACCTAACGGCAATCCACGGGTCAACACATGAGCGCATGGGTCAAAACATGACATGATGGCAACCCATGGGTCAAAACATGACATGACGGCAACCCATGGGTCAAAACATGACATGTCGGTAACCCATAGGTCAAGACATGAACATGACGGCAATCCATGGGTCAAAACATGACATGATGGCAACCCAGTGGTCAAAACATGACATGACGGCAACCCATGGGTCAAAACATGACATGATGGCAACCCATGGGTCAAAACATGACATGACGGCAACCCATGGGTCAAAACATGAAACATGAAAATAACTTACAGATGCTAAAATGTCCATGTCTCTGTCCCTCTTCTGCATCTGCTCAATTGTGCTCTCCCACTGAGACAGAAGCTGCTCCCTCTCTACGTGAGCTTTCCTGAAGTCCTCTGCAATCTTGTCTAGTTCGATCTGGGACAGGGAAAGAAATCATCAAGACAGTGAGGGAGATTAAGGGAATGGGTAATGTAGTTTTAGTAGGCATCAAGTCATGAAAATTAAGTTCCAGAGTGGTATAGCTAAACAGAAGTCTAGTTTAACGGTGGTACAGTTTAACGGCAGTCCAGTTTAAAAGGCAGACCAGTTTAACAGTGGTCAAGTTTAAAAACTGACCAGCTAAACAGTGGCAAAATCCCGATAGTGGTCAAGTATGCAATTTGTCATGTAAATTTTTTTTCCTTTCAATGAATCCCAAAATTAACAATGGCATATTTGACCCTAGTTATTTAAACACATTTAGAAACACTTTTAGTAAAGAAGAAACAATTAATAAAGGCTTACTTGAGCAGATGTAGTGTTAGTCATCTCATTATGCAGATGGCTCCGTTTCTTTTGAGCTTTGTTCATAAGTTTTTCCATGCGCAGTGATAGCTCCTGTTAGTGGATCAAGGTTTTAAAAAATCATAACAAGATAATAATAATACTTGAGTGGTACAATTTTTTTGAGTCTATCACCTTTAAAAATATATATATATATTTTCATGTGTTTAACATAACCTAAAAACATGGCTCCATTGTAAACACAGCCGTTTTCAAACTTCAGATATTACTTTTGTCATCTATACCTTGATTTTACTCTCATCTTGTCTGGTATACTTCTGAATAGTCATAGCATCCTCATCTTTGCGGGCAGATTCCTCAAGCCAAGCCTCGAGAGCTTGTTGGTCCCAGTTCATTTGAGATTTAAGTTCTTCCAGTTTTTGCGTTTGCTTGAAAACATTGTTCTAAAAAAAGAAGGTAATGTTTATGTTAATTTACAATTAGGGTTAAAGATTGGTTGCTTTTTTTTTTGAAAAAAAAGCTGATTCTTTTTAAATTAAAAGAGAAGCAAGCTGTTTTAAGAGGTAGGTTTTGATCATTGTGATCTGAATTTTAATTTTAACTTTTTAAACAAAATGTAATTACAAAGCATTTAATTAACTGACTTCAGGATAAAAAACTTAAAACAACTGTTTAGGAAAAAAACTCAGATTAATTTTCATTAGCACTTGTGATGAGGAAACAATCCAAATACACACAAAAAAAATGTATTAAAATTATTTTTTTAAATTTATCATTAGAAATTGAGTCAAAACCTCATAAGTGTTCTTTTTTTCTTTGAGCTCATCTTTTTCTTTATTGAGTCGGACAACTTCTTGTTTGAGCCTGCCTTCCTCTCTTTCTGCTATCCTAAGGAGATGCTCCTCAGTTTCTGCTTCCTTTTGTCTTGCGGCAACCAGGGCCTAAATTTTAAGAAAAATTCAAATTAACTCAAATAAATATTCTTTCCATTTTTCTTATCTTTGTTCTCGTTAGGGACTTGTGCCTATCCTTATTCTTTTCTCTAATTTCCTTTTTTAGGTAGAGGTAAGATATACATCAGGGTAAGAGAAAAAGAGGTCGACCCAAAACAACTTGGAGAAGGGAACTGGAGGCAGACATCAAAAAGAGTGGGCACAACTGGGGACAGTTGGAGAGACTTGCCCAAGACCGGGATGCCTGGAGAGCCTTTGTTTGTGGCCTATGCCCCAGACGGGACGACAGGCGATGATGATGATGATGAAGATATACATATATGATTATGATGTAATTTTAATTTATAATTATATTAATGTCTTTTGTTGATGAAGGCATTAGTCAAAACGATTGATTTTTTTGTTTTTTTAACTAATCATAATTAAAGCTTAACATATATTGTTTTATTTACACAAATTGTATGTGTCTCTTAATCTAAATACATACATTTGGTTTTTTGTTTTACTTTATACCTCAGAAATAACAATCATGAAATTATATAAATTAAAGTAGGGAGTAAATACTTCAAGCTATCTGCTGCCCACCACATAGATAATAATATTATTATAATTATCTTTTCAATTTTTACATTTTATACATTTATAGATGAGTTTCCAAGAGCACCTCCTGCTGGCTTCCCCATCCTCCCATTTGTAAGCCTATAAATTATTATGAAAGTAGGCTATAATTTTCTCACTTGTGTATGCTGAAGTTCTTGGCGGACATTCTTGAGATGTTCCAACATAGCTCGGATGCGGTCATCATGTTCCGACAGTTCATTCTGGCAGACAACAACTTGAGTCTGTTTTTGCTGAACCTAAGAAAATAAATTTGATATTTGTCATAAATTAAGTGTTAGGTCATTCAGGTTAGCATAAAATGACATGCTACATACATTATACATTCTTTTTTAAAAAACTTATACTATAGGCCTACTGATTCTAAAAGAAAATTTTTACCCTGACATCATTTGCATGTTTATTAAAGTTTCCGTGAATTCGGGTTCAGGTTAGGTTTAGGGATACATTTAGGGTCCAAGTTAGGTTTAGGGATACATTTTAGGGTTCAGGTTAGGTTTAGGGATACATTTTAGGGTTCAGGTTAGGTTTAGGAATACATTTACATTTAGGACATAAGTTTGTGGGATTTTTATACCTGGATCTTATGAAAAGAATATATAATAATTATAGGCTTATGGCATATATATTGTTATAATATTATAATATATGCCTATATTATATATTAAATATAGTTACACTAGCTTTTTAATTTTAACACTCTTACTCTTACTCTTAACTTTTTAAAGAAGTTGATGGTCCAAATCCCTACTAAGTTATAAATCAATTCTCCTGGTGAAATGTTAATTGTTAAACATTCTTGTTAAATGAATAACCATTAATTCAAAATGTTATCATTAATTGTTATGCACATGAAGTTACAGTCAGTTTCATTTAAAATTACCTCATTTTCAAGCTTTTTATTTTCAGTATTAGCCACGGGCATAGATAAACCTTCATCCCAATCAATTTCAGCAAGAACGGTGTTACTAAAGTTTGACATTTTCCTTGTTATAATTCTTATATGTTCATCACAGCTGAATTAATTATTTTTCTTCGAAATTACGCCATTTAAATCTTAACAGTTCAATATCATCATAAATGCTGGACTCCAAACGGAAGTAGACGGAATTGTTTGTGATCTCGTAGGAGACAAGATGCCAGGATGTAAATATTGAAAAGGGAATCTACTACAACTTTTTTTTCTTTTAATGTTTGGTTTGTTATTTCCCTTTTACATTAATTCTTAATTACTATCATTTAGCCCCTTTCATCCACGGATTCCGCCATCAATCAATCTGCATAATGTTATCTTACATTCACTTGTGCAAGAACTGTTTAAATCATGAATTATGAAAAATAACATTGTAAGGCTCTAAAATATAAAAGGATGTAATTACCCCCCCCCCCCCCCTTGTTGGTATGTTGGATTTAGTTGGATAGCTAAGCAGTCGGCAACTGCCTCAAACTCCATGTATAAATAGGTACTTTGACACAAAATTTAAATATTGTCCAATTGCCATGAATGATACATCATTTTAAAGGGCTAGCTATAAGCTTTACAACAACACCAATTTCATCTTTCTATCTTTTATAGAAGTGGAGTTATGATTTTTTAAGTGATTTTTTAAAACCCTCTTCTTTATCTTTGTATTTAACTGTGAAAATGTGTGACCCACTTTCCAAATTTCTGCCTTATTTTGCCCAAAACTTTTTTATTTTAAAAGATAATGCTACCAAATTTTCAGGAGACATTCTTAATGCAACATACAACACAATGAACAAAAAAAACTTTTAAATAACATCAGTACTTTCTATTTTAAATTGTTTTATTTAAGGGTATGTTAAGAAAAATGTGAACAGAAAAAATGGAAAAATCAATACCGATACTAACAAAGAAAAAAAAATAACTTGTTTATTGGATTTGAACTAATTATATGCTTGTGTTAAATTTTAAATAAATTCTTATAATTATAAAAAGGTAAGTAGTTTTTTTTTCTCTCTGCATGTAATGTAATTATTAATTATAAATAAAAATTACTCAAAACCATTTTTTTATCTACATTCAAACGTGCCTCCTTGTTCTTTGATGGAATGGAAGGAATTCCACCGAGTTCTGCAATAGAAAATTTTCTCTTTTATCTGAAAAAAGCCTAGAAAAACATCTTAATAATTTCAATCATATAATATAAGTTAGTATGCTAAACGAAATTTTCAAACTAAGCATGTTCACAAAAAAGAATGAAATACTAGATTCTTCATTACGCACAAGCGCCCCCCCCAACCTTCTTTTTTTCCCCTCTCAGAGAGCTCGGAATATAGGGGTTGTCCTTTGAAGTCGAGTCGGGGAAAGGGGGGGGGGCAGATTAGAAGTGGATCACTGACTAAGCAGTGGACACACACATCATCATTGTCCTGGACCTGGTGTGAAGCTGATCACCCTGAAGGCTGCTAATACGCTGTCCGTGATTGGTCAGCTCTAATTTGAGCACCCCCTCCTCTTTTTTCGTATGCAAATGCGCTTATTACTGGTGACTGATTTGCGCTGAGTAAAGTGAGGGCTAGAGATTATTTTTTTTATATTATAAGATGGACTCGTTTTGGCTTTGCTGGTTGTAGGATCATTTTGTTTAAAATTGCAGGACGACCAAGAAACAATAACTAAAATTGTTGATGCAACAGGCATTTTTAATGGTGCAGCATTTGGTTTATACGCGCACCTTGTGGGGCAACAAATAACGTTAATACAACTGGAATTTCTCCTAAGGCGCTCGTAACAATTGCAATGTGGCTTGTAAGCTGGGTTCGTATGTCAAGTATGTGAGCTCCCCATAATTATCGGGATCGGAATCTCACCGAAACGGGATCCCGCCGGATAGGGTTCTCATTTAGTTTGGGATACCACCGGAAATGGATCTCACCGGGATCAGTATCTTACCGGGATCGGGATCCCACCATGACCAGGATTCTATCGGAATCACATCGGGTTCGGGATCCCATCATGATCCTTCTGGGTGTCATCGGAAAACGGGAAAACGAAAGGTTTACATAAGTTATTTTAATTGTTTTTAATAGGAGACAAATTAATTATTATTATTTTTACTATAGTGTTGTTGTTTTGTTGTTGCCATTTCCTTTAATAGCAATGTGAGCTAAAAGGACGTAGCAGATGTTTTTGTTTGAATGCAGCCCCGGGCAACTCCGGTTATAGTTGATAGTAAAGTTATAAAATAAATACATCATTTATTTTAACAAGATTCATCCAATTGGGCAACTTTTATAAAGTATCTTTAAAGACAGAAGAGTTATCCTTGATTTACCACAATGGCTCCGTAAAACACGAAAGATTCATAAAAATGTACTTTTTTTTATCTCGTAAAATTTGTTAAATTGTTGTTGTATTCCAATAAAAAGATGGTTATATAACTTTTAAAATACTTTTTATAAAGAATTAACATAAGTTTACACGGGAAAATAAGAGATTCAAACAGAAATAATATTCGCACCTGAACTGCACTTTTACCAAATTTGGTATTCAAATGAAAAATAATTGAATGTAACTTGTAACGCAACTAATCTTTATATTTTTTAAAACTTACTTAAAAGTTAAACTTATTCGGTAAATTATTAATAATCTCTTACATAATGAATTATAATGATCATAAATGATGCCTGAAAAATTGGCAATGATGATGATAAAAATTGAATGAATGATAACTAGAGTGATAACGGTCATACGCCAACTGACTCAGTAACTCAAGTAACTGCACACACAGTATGTAACCTTAGAGCACACACAGTCCGAGAAATGGGCGGAGCGCCCCACCATTGCTACGCCACTGACCAGACTCGATGTGTTTGATGGTGTTCAGGTTGGAAGGATGTGTTCAGATTAGAAGGATGTGTTCAATTTCCAGTTCTTCACAAAATGACACCCACTTTTAAAGTATGGTGGATGATAATTGTATGATGTCATCATGCTCTAAAATAGAGTTCAGAAGTCTATTTTTGGAAATGCATATAAAATGTATTCAATGGCCATATTATAAATATACAGTTGAACCCGCTTATCTCGACTTCGGTTAACTCGCCAACCCTGTTATGTCGACGTTTTTGAAGTGGAACCGCCAAAATTCTCTCTTGGTCTTAGCATTTTCTCCTCGGTTATGTCGATTCTTTTATTTCGCCGAACTCTGATATCTCGAGCACAAAAGGCGGTCAAATTTTCCACTTAATCTCGGTTATCTCGATCCCCATGACCAATCGCGGGCTTTTGAAAATTATATACGACAGAAACGTACCTACTTCAAACTGTAGTAATTGAAATGAAAGGAAAATATCGTTGTCTGCTCAATTAACTTGACACAGCGAGGAAGCGAGACGCGTGCAAACAAAAGAGAGGGGTCGCAGTAACTGTTCTATTTATAGCGAACCCGCTTGTCACTTAATACTTAATAGGCTTTCACGCGTTCTTACATGTTGATTTTGTTCTTTTAAACCCAGAATCCGTATTGGAATAAACTGAACTGGCCAATCCGGAGCGAGAGAAAATAAAAACTTGCGAATCCGGAGCTGAAACACATTTACCCTGACGAATCCGGAATTCCGGGATAATTGCGTCATCAAACAAATCGCGGTAACGATGTTGTGGTTTTTTTCTAAACTCCGAAAACACGTGCATTTACAGTCTTATTTACAGTCTTAATTACAGTCTTATTTACAGTCTTATTTACCGTCTTATTTACAGTCTTATTTATAGTCTTATTTACAGTAATTTGTTGGCACAGAAAAAAAACAACATGCATTTTAGCATTAAATGTGAGTTTCTTGAGGTGATAATTATATATTATTATTTTCTTCCTTCAATTGTGTATATATAGTTGAACTATGTAGATTACAAGGTTGAAACTTCGCTGGGGCCAAAATTATTGCCGCCCCCTTCCACGATGAAAACGTGGCCAATCCTCTTTAAAAAGGGGGGGGGGGAGGGAATGACCATTACATCTTCCCCCCTTCCTACGCCCGTCATTGCATCAATGCGTTTTTTTTTAGTGACGTTAGTGTATCAAGTCCTGTGTATTCATTCAGTAACATGGTAATTAAAATTGCGAATTTGTTATGTATTTAAAGTTCACAGGGGAAGTTACTTTAATTTT